CTACGACTTGACCAGTAGATATACTTAAAAGGCAAGGAAAAATAGCAGAAAAAAGTGTTTAAGTGTCAAAGGAAGAGATAATAATAAAGCTAAAAGGTACTCAAATCAGAAAATCAGTTGTGAAAAACCGCCATATTGTTTGGAACAAGTCACGTCAATAGATTAATATTCAAATAATAATAATAATAATAATAATAATAACGAATTTTTATACAGGATTGAAAACCCATCAGTGTGTAACACTGTTGTCCTTGGGGTTCCCTTTTCGTTCCGAAAAGAAGTTTGTCTTCATTTTTTCGAAGCTCTACGAGTGGAAATTTATAAAAAAAAAATTTTGGCAGAAAATTGAAGATTTTAACAAAACATAAGTCCTTAGAGAAGCAAACGTCATCTTCCCAAACACACGACTGATTGACAAAACCACCGCAGGACCGTTCTAACTTAAATTTCAGAGGAATAAATCGTTAAACTACTCACCAGAAAGTCGCCAAAGCTTGTTAACATTACTTAAATCCTGTAGATGTCTTAAGGATTTGATTTGTTTTCTCTAAAAGTGAAAATTCGTCTACAAGAAGAACGCCACCAAACACGCCCGCCATGAACAACGTGGTCTTTTTCTTCATAAATATTTAGATTTCAAGTTGAAATCTTCACGGACAAAACATAATTTTTTGCATACTTTTGCATAAGATACCGAAAAAGGAGGGATGAAAATGATATGAATGACTCTTATAGGACATTTTCTGGACTTTTCGTTAACGGTAGCAAAACTTGGGAAGAAAATCTGATATAAAGTTTCAAGGGCTCATAGTTTTTTTCCGGTTAAGATTTGTTTACCGCCTGAAGAGAAAACTATTTCCTTTCTTCGAACCCTACCTCCCTCATCCAAAACTTAGCTATATTACCGGTCAACTGGTCATTGGTCAACTGGTCATTGGTCAACTGGTCATCTTTCGCCTGAGGGCTGGGGGGTTTGAGGATACCGGTTGTGTTTAATATAATCCACGTGATCCTCCTTTCGAACTCTTTAATCTTATTATCACCCTGACATGCAGTTTTTAATGGTCCCCCCTCCCTTTATACTCTGTGGAGACGAGTGATCACTCTCCGTTCCCAATGAAAATCATGTGCCCTACCCCAAAAAGAATGCGACCCCCCTCGCCCAGCTATAAATAATGACTGGTTTCTCTCAGTGTTAAAGGGGTATCAAATTTGCCTTCTAAACGACCATGGCCAGTTCTGCATCACTATTAGCCATTCTGATACTTTTGAATATATGAATATAGTTTATATCTGACCACTTGCAGCCCAGAGGCTGAATCACGGGTGCAGTGTAAGGTTGAGAACAGACGTCAGCATATCA